AATAAACAATTAAACAACAACGGAGGGAATAAATATCCACGATAAGTGAGAGAAAAGACCTTAGCTTACGGGGACGGATCCTGCCTGATTCCTATGAGCTATGAGGCCCATTAGTGGCATTCGGAACATCCTCCCCTCCGGCTATCCGGGATGGGAGGATGCACCCCGCTCGTATTAGTTACCTGGGATGTCCGGCGGCTTAGGGTGATCCTGCTTTCTTTCGCAGCATGGCTCGTTTAAGTTGAAGTGCTGCGAGCATGAATGGATAACGATGTCAGCTGTGCGAATAGCGAAGAGGAGCGACCAGTCGGGTTGGCTGCACGACGTAGACTAACTGGCTGCTTGAGTCGACGCCGGTGCTGCTGCTGCGTGCCTAGCGGCTTCTCGACTGCTCTTTCCGTCCAGGACAGCCGCATTCAGCACAAACGCTCTCTTTCGAAGAGTCTTACGAAAGCCACGACGGAAGGGTTAACTTCACATTGCTTTGATAACTCAATGGCTGTGGTCTGTTTCACTTGTAATATGAGAGCGAGGCTATAACTCTGACGGAGTGAATTCTCAACTCAACTCGCCAGCAAATCGGGGTGGTGCTCAGGTTTTAGAACTTGTGCATTACCCTAAAACCTCACCTAGAATTAGTACGCCATCGTTGACAGGGCTCCCGGATACTGATGATGCAAAGATAGGGAAAAACAGGTCTCAAGCGGCAAAGAGCGAGGCAACCGAATAAGAAACAATTATGAACGCTTCAATGTGCTTAATAGAGTCAGTTCTGTAACTTCTCCGTCTATTTTTTTTCATTTCCCAGGTGAGCTTGCTGTACGACGGCGGTGATTTCTTTCTGTCATAACACCCTTGATTCGTTGGTCTAGCAGACCTACAGCCTCTGTAATATTCTAATTCCAGCGCGACTCGTTACCTTTGGCGACTGCAGCTTCTTTCTTACTTGGGCTTGCGTATGTGCTTCTTGGAATGTTATGTGCCGGTTTGACTAGGTCACCAAATCAAGCTTCTTCACGTTAGTTCACAATACTTCTTTTCATTAAACTGTTTCATTGGACTAATTTTCACATTGATCAGAATACAGCTATGCTGAGTGGAACACTAATGCCAGAATATGCGATTATCCCACGAGTAGAGGCTCTTTCTAGCACAGGTGGCTCCGTTGGCAATCGTAGCGGGCGTGCCATCTACTTTTTTAAGTGTGAATTATAGGAACACTACCTTCTCTGCCACGCAGTAATGAGCGCTTTACACCGCGATCGTTTCGTTCCACTATATCTATGTAGCGGTGGTATCTTCATCAGCTGTGTACTTTCTTCCTATAGTTTCTCTTTTCTACGTCTAATGTTGCTCTACCGTATGCTCATATGATGCTTGAAGATAAACCCGCGCTCAAGCAATTTGTAGGCGACTCTTCTTGTGCAAGTAGTTTGGCCCACAATCTCTGAGAGTATCCCAGCTTTTAGATTGCACCAGTGAGGGACGAAGGCCCTGTGGTCCTCGTAAGTGGCATTTCTGATGCCTTCCCAGTTGTCCCGCTCACCGAAACCCAGAAGCTATGTGTGTTCATATTCATTCGTATGTGTGTGGTACGGGTGTGTGTATATAAGTATTTGTTTTGTGCGTTAGGTGTGTGTACGTGATGTGTGTGCTTCTGTGTGTATGTGTGCATGTGTTAGTGTGTTGTGTATGTGTGTCATGACTGGAAATTTGGAATGAGTGTGTGTGACTGGAAATTCATAACTTCCCTTCTGTCGCTAAGAGTTCATTATGGTGCGTGGCGGGAAGTGATAAGTAGGATAGCATAGGGGAATCGTGGGAGTGAGGGTACAACTTCATGTCGCGGGTCACAGCATTTGTAGTACTTTGGTACCAAGAGGGTATATAAGGGGCAGGATAAGGACATTAATAATGTGGCGCAGGAAGTGATAACTGTTGATAAGATAACACATGGGTCGGGAATGGGAGGGTCTGTGGAGGGAACTTCAGAGCTTGGGTCACAGCAAGGACAGCACTTTGGTTTGAAGAAGTGGTATAGAGGGCAGGATGGGAGCAACATTCGTAGGTGGCAGGAAATGGTAACAGCTGAGCCCTGAAAATTTATAGCACAAGCTTTGGCAACAGTGGGCAACTGCCAGTAATTCGGGGGTGGCTGCGAAATATGGGTAGTGGGAGATAGAAGATGATATAATGTCCGATAGGGGCTGATAGGAGTCAATCTCTGTTGGCATCTTTTCTGTACTGGCGACGAAGCTGCGACCAGGTCAAAGAGTCAGTGGGCACATGCTTATTTACCCGACATGTTTTTATGCTCCTACGATTTAGTCAATAATGGTTTGAGTGCTGAATTATCGAGTTTCGACAGAAAGTGAACGCTTGAGCCCCTAAAATTTACCCGTAACGGTGTCCCTATTTCCAAATAATGGTGGATGTTTCTAGAAGGATGATGAGCACAGCGCAAGTGATCAATGATTATTAGGAATATGAGGGAATGGGCCTCGTTTTGAAACGTGGAATCAAGGCTAGTGCTATGGGTTAGCACTGTGATTTTCTCAGTAATCAGGACCATAAATTGAAGCAGGCGCGCGGATGTGCGCTTTAGTCAAACTAGTATCCGATAAAGTGTCTCAGGGCAGGAAGGTCACCAAATTTATAGCGCGCGTGGCAGCAATAGCAGCAAGTTGCTTTGGTCAGGCAATATAAGGGGAAGGAAAAAATCGGCGACGGAAATAGATAACAAGTCATATAGACTTTTAAGGGAGGGGAGCATGGTGCCATCATAGCCATCTTCGAGGCGGGAGGGCTTTAACACTGTGAAACAATGAAGGTTCAGAAGGGGGAAAATTAGAGACAGGTGACAAGTGATACTGTCAGTTGATAAGAGTATGTTAGCGGTTATACGGTTATCTTCAGAAAGCGGATTAAGATAATATTGCAAAAATCTGTCGATGATAAGCTCCAAGCTTCTCTTACGATGCACAATTGACATGAACAGAGCAAAATTAGATGCGCTTTTCGTACTGCTGTTGAGGGATCCAGGTTGTAAGCAAGAACCTTCCAGCAGGAAGCTCATATCAGTATAGCGGCTCACAATGGAATGATGCAGCATTCTCGAGATGATCACGGCTGCAACATAGGAAAACGAGAGGGATTGGATATTTGTAACGAGTGATGGATTTCATAAATCCACGCGATGTCACTGAGAATTGCTCGATTCTGCGGGCTAAGCTGAACACAGATACTTGGGTAACAAGCCTTAGTGAAGGCCCACGAACACCTATGTCACATCACAATGTTCAAGTGTGTCACGTGATTTCCAGAATAATGCTACGGCGGCCGCGGTAACATACGCGTGCCTGCGAGGCCCGGCGAGTGTGATGAATATGGGAGGATCTCCAACGGCAAGGACGGCACGGCATGAGGCTAGTCCGAGGATCTTGCAACGTCTGGGAGCGTGCAGTCTAAGAGAGGAGATGGCCTAGTAGCAAAGAAAAAAATTGGCTGCGCTCTGAGATTAGTTACTTGCGGTGCACCAGAAACTCCAAGTGATGTGTGTGTAATCGTACACCATCTTCATGACTCGATCACCCCGAACTGATATTCATTTTTTCTCAAGCGTTGCCCGTTTGTCGATTGTTTAATGAGGATTTTGTTCGCTGCCGGGCAGCAACTGTACTACTTTTTCTGCGTATGCCCCACAAACTGGATGCTCCGAGCAATCCAAGGATGAGATCTGGTCTCTGCTGGGTAGGGAGGCTGCAGCGCCAGCAGAGGACGGTACACTTGTCGCTGGTGACTTGAGCCCACACAAGGGCTCTGCGAACGATGACTGCATTTGTCATGACGGATTCGGTTATGGGTCCCGGGATATGGTAGTTTGCTCGTGTTGTATTATCTGCCAAGCGGGTCTTGATACGTCTGCTCGAGAAGTCGAATGAAATACCGTTCACCTCAAACTTGGGTATTAAACAGTTGCGGATTACAGCAATAATAAGAATGGGAATAAGAGGAGAGATAATGAGTGGGCCAACGCCCGAGACAGAGCAAAAGGGAGAGAAATGTTCTACAGTGAGCACTGTCCTGTATTTATAAGCCTGGAGGGGGCGGAGCGAGCTGCCTGTAGATGAAGCTGATGATAGGCATTGTTGACCTTTGGAGCAGCTCGATTAGCCACCAGATAACGAAAGTGAAAGTTACAATGATTAGTCATCGCTGAAGAGAGGAATAAGAGGCACATGCAAATAGAGAATTGTACATGCAATTTATATGGAACGAAGGGTTAAAGATAGATAGAGGATAGATAGTAGAAGTTAGATGCGGGAAGCAGCTGCGATTTCTCTCATTCTGTTACCTAAGGTCATATCGACGGAACCTGAAAAGAGGACGCCAAGCCGATAACTCAAGCCGCTTGTTCCGAGTCGGCTATGAAGCCGAAAGCGAATTGAAAAGGAGGCTCAAATGAAGAAAAAGGGGCTCTATCACGTGTTTCTCGAACATCTTGGTCGACAACTGGTGACAGTACCGGGAAGCGAAGAAGGCCGTGAGGGCCGTTCACTCTAAAAATTTCAGCCAGAAACTGGAAAGGCGCGTCGATGAGCGGTATCTGATCAAACTTGCCAATTCTAGCCGTCACCTAACTGATAGTATAGAAAAGTTTTGTGGCACAAATGACAACTGTGGATATCTTCCTATGGTGGAAGGAGGATGGTGCAACGATATCGTGACTACTTTGAGCGCATCTCAGCAGTGAAACGCATCCGGCTATCTCCTATGCCTTACCCACATATGGCTCCAGTCAGAAGATACCCTTACAGGTAACAGGAGATAGAAAAATGTGTTCTGATTCAGGTCTTTTGGCTTATTTCTCCTTATTAAAAAGTGATTCAAAAGGAAATTATTTTACATGCGCAAATTCTGTTGAGTCATCTTTGCAAAACTTTGGGAAGATCCAATACACTCCCGCCCGAAAAAAGAAAAAGTGAAAGTAGAGAGAATTACTATTTAGTTTTCTTTTTTCTTACAACTTTGCTCGGCAGTTCTGAGTGGGATGTGAGTTGTTTGTATTTTTTGTATATCGCGAGAAAACAAAGTATCAGAAAAAACAGACATATGGAAGTCCATACAATTTTGAAATTCGAAAAGAATCCGAAAAGGCCTGGTATTTTTGCAAAGATATCTGAGAAAAAATTAGAGACGTTCTCAAAGGTAAATCCACTACTGGATGATTTGAATGATCGCCTTGGTGTGATCATTTCTGTGATGAAAGTTGCTTCATTGACGAATGCGAGTTGTCCCTTCAGAATGACTGTTGAAATTCCTCCTGGACATCTGACTGTGCAGTTTTCGTTGACCATTGAGTTGATGAAGTGGAATCGCACCGTGGAAATTTCTCCCTCTGGGGTGCAGCGAACGATTCTGGTTGTATCTGAACACTCAATTTGTGCCGTTTCTTCACTTATTGATGACCTGCACGAGACATTAGCAATCGCTCCCTGTGTGCAGGAATAGCATCCTGTCAGCTCCTCCATATGTACTTGACATGAATTGTTGTTGATGCTAGCAGCAATGACTAGTTCGTTCGTTGATATCTGAATTGTGAGCGCAGAGTCGATTGTTGTTTTTGCCTTAATGGTTTGCCGCTCATTTATCAGTGCTGCTTGACCTGTAATTACTGGAAGCTTATTATGTTTATTGTGCAGAAATGACGACGTTGTCCCATTTGGACAGGAGCATGTGACTGCGTATTTTCTTGGGTTACAGGAACATGCATATTGTGCGAAAATGCAGCTCCCAAAAGACTTTGCTTCTTCTTCTGTTCTACATTGTAACTGACCGGCGGAGTTTGGTAGAAGTTGTCCTTGCTGAGATGGTTCGATTCGCGTCACGATGTTGCCGTCCGTTATGAAATAGCTTGATAGAATCGGAAGATTTGGTAGAATTGTACCTGCAAAGGTCAGTCGAAGGTTATTCCATGTGAAAGGAATTCCTGGCTGGAGAGTGAAGTGTTGAGCAGTAGTAGAACTTTCTGTTCTTAGCGTGACGGTTCCTTCTGCTTGGATGCTCCATGTGGGGCATGAAAAGACTCGGTATATCGTGGATGATGTAGGTACTGTACCTATAGAAGAGACATGTTGATGTGCAGTGGAAGCACCAGTCGCACCAAAAGCATCCACAGCTTGGTACACAGTATGTGTATCCCGGATTTGCCTTTGCAATCATACTGAAGTCGTGTAGTTTCGTCTCCGGTTTGAGTGACGCGCAGGTGTTACCTCTGCAGCTTTCAGTGTTATAGCACTGATGTCGGGATTCCGTGAAGAACTCGTAATCTCTTGTGAAATATTCGGTTTCTGTTTACAGATGTGAGAGATTTGTTTCAGTCGTATGGAAACTGTTGCCATGATTCGGTTTTCCTTGTTTTTGAGTAGGAGACAAGCTTCTTGTCCTGATCGGTTGAAGGAGCAGCTGGGTAGTTTGTCCGTATATGCATTTCTCTTCGTTTTCGGTGATTGTGCAGTATGATGTTTCTCCTTGGTGAGTTACTATATCGGAGCAGCATCGGACAGTAGAGACTAGACAGACGATGGTAGCCACTATTCCATATGGTCTTCTTCTTCTCCTTCTTAGTTGATACGGTGATCTTTCGATTGGGTAGCTCTGGTTTCTCCCGGAAAATCTCTTGTATATGGTGACAGTCGTTTTTACGGCGACGAGGGGCAGATATAACGATTTTCTTCCAATCCTGTAGAGTAGTGTGAAGAGCGGTGTGAAGATGTGGAGAAGGAGGACTACTGCAATGATGAGAATTCCCGACGTTGCTATTTCTGTAGTTGTCCAGCATTGGAAATTGTATATCTTCTCCCAGCATATTTTGCAGTTGAGCGTTTCGCAGAGTGGTTGTCCAGGGCACTTTAATGTCGAGGAGAGTATTCTTTCACCGTTGAGCCATCCATTGATTGAGACTTCATATTCGAACATCACTATTGATGTTGGAAATAGTATCGGCTGGTTGGATTGATAGTTGTTCACGAAAATGCATGTTGATGTGCTGCAGCTTTCGAGTACATCCAAAGTGTTGATCGTTTCAACAGTTATTCCTCCTTGATGACACCTAGGGATCGAGTAGTTTCCTTTGAGCTTTCAGTACTTCTGTGAGAGAAATACTCTTTTGGCACAGTTCCCCAGGCTCGTATTACGATGGAGGAGTTCGCGTATTCAAGCGTCGTGATGGGTGTGTAATAAGTGCAGAAGACAGATCCAGCTGTTGGTTGTGAGCACGTGTGATATCGGCAGAAGGCCGGCGATCCGGACTTCGATGCCTTGATCGAAACTGGACTAGGTATCAATTTTCCATCGTAGTCGAAGCAGTAGTAGTCTTCCTTATTGAAAAACTGCCTTGTTGTGATGCGCAGTTCCGGTACAATTATTGTCGTGCCATCATAGAGTTCAACCTGATAAAAAATTCCCACTTTTTTCGAACTTGAGCACATTGATGATCCGTGAAACGAGCATACGTGTGGCGGTTTGTAGTTGGAAGATCGACGAGGGAACGTTGATGGCTTGTGATGTTTCCTTATTTCGTCCATTGTAGAATGAGCAAGTTTTTGTCCATTTCGGGCAGAAACACTTGCTTCCGCAATATCCGGAGTTTGGAGGCAGGGGAATTGGTATATTGATGTGTCCTGATGGACACTGGATAGGAAACCAACACAAGCGTTGTTGACTGTTGACGTTGTCCACTATGGCTGCAACGGCGATACCTTTTTCCACGCACTGGTCGGCATAGATGATTCTTTCTAGTGATACTGTGCTGGGACATCTGTTGCTTGTTACGCTATCTGACGCGCTACATCGAGATAGAAGTGCTGTGAAGATGATACTTACAATAGTGAGCAAAGAGTTGAGCTTCGCTTTTGATCTTGGTTACCATGCCATGAGTAGACTTCACTAGTCTTTTTGCTGGATTTCGCTCTTGTGCATACTTTTCCAGTGCAATTCTACCGCCGATGCCACATCTCATCGTCACCGAAAAAAGTACTGAGGGTCAGAGGCGAGAACATCGCTGACGACCGTACGGGCAGATCAAGTTTAGAGGTCTGGTAATTACCTCCTTATTTGCCAAACGAATCTGAACTGTTTTCTGGAACTTATCATTGGATCCAATTATTTGTCCGATTTTTCCATTGACCCTCGCTTTCAGTTGTTCGTCCTGAATCGGCCATGACATGGTCGTGAAGCTTCGGATGTTGAGTCTTATTTTCCAGACGAGGGTGTTTGTGGGAGTGCTGGTATTGTTCTCTGAGGCTCACTAAGTACTCTGACTGCCATCGTTCCCAGAAGAGGTTTAGTTTTTCGTTCGTCGACTTCCACATTTCGATGAGGTCTTGTTGAACGATCGTCCGTGGTCCAAGTTCCTCCAAGTTTCCGATTTGAGGAGTAGCGATCACTGCTGTTGGTCTCAAAAAGTCGATTGGTCTGAGAGGGAATTGTGATTGTTCTTCACTTACGTAGGTTAGTGGACGGGAATTACAGACGGCTCCGCATTCTGCCACGAGAGTTTTCAGAGTTTCTATGTCGTAGAGTTCGTTTCCAACTGCTTTTTGATACGATGATTTGAAAATGCCAACCATTCTTTCATATACTCTCTCCCTGCCATGGGCTGTGACTTGCCATGAATTTGAAATGGATTTTGTGATCTGCGCAGTAGTCCATGATGGTGGTATCGCTTACTTTCGTCATGAAAAGATCGCACTGAACTTCGTTTAGTGTCTTGAAAACTTTGGCGTTGTCGCACACTATCCAGCGTGGGAAACCGTTGGTCGCGATAAAACCGTAACAGCACTTGACACATACTACGTGAAGAAGAGCAACTGCACTCATACTGGTCACAATTTCACTGAAAATCGCTCTGGTATTCAGACATGTGATAAGGATGATCCAGTATTTGGAAGTAGAAGATTGTTCTTAAAAGTCTGCTACTCTGTAGCTGGAAAGGTCCATGTAGTCTATCCGCTTCTCTCGAATGGGTATTTGGCTCCGTACTCTTTCTGGAGGGTGTGCGGGAAAGTCTGGTAACGAGAACGGTTTTGCTTTTGCCTTTCTGCAGATGTAGCAGTTGTTGCGCAGAGTTTTCTTCACTGTGACACGTCCTTTCGGAATCCATACCTTGGTGCGCAGTTCGGTAAATGTTTGTTCGACTCCGCAGTGATGATTCATTCGATGAACGTGGAGAATGTATAGTATTGTGATATGACTCTCTCTCGGGAGGAAGATCGGTTCAATGGTATTCTGGTGAAGACTCGAGTTTTTGATTCGTCCTTTTGATTTCCATAAGCTGGTACGTTCACACATGTACAGTTCAATTGTTTTCTAATGGCGTCACTCGGAGGGTTAGTCATTTGCGCTTGCCGGCGGATGATGCGTTCAGCGACTGCAATCAATTTTTCCTTCTTCGTCGTGAAGTAGCGCTCTGCTATCTTAGATTTTTTCGCTATGAAGAGTATAACTGCCACCATGGTGTAGAGAAGCCTTGTCCATGAACTGAATCGTGTCTCTTGCAAACTGTCCTGACCTTTTTAGTTCCTTAGCTTTAGACAATGAGACAATTTTCCGTCTCTTCGTCCTTGGAGTGTTGACTGATGTCATCTGGCCATTGTTCCTTGGAATCGTACAGAAACGAGGGTCCTTCGAACCACAGATGAGAGCTGATTAATTCTCTGATGGGCATTCCTCTGCTTCCAATGTCAGATGGATTCTTCTCTCTTGGCACGTAAGTTTGATGATGCGAGAGCTTTATCTTTGATGCTTTTCACGCGATTGTTGATGAATACTGGTAGCGCTTTCTCGCATTTTGTCCACATCAGCGCTACTTTACTGTCTGACCAAATGTAGCTGTTTTGAAGATGAACATCAAGATGGGAGTGTAGAAACTTCGTCAATTTTGCGCCGATGGTGATCGCTGATAGCTCTAGTCGAGGTATTGTTGGAGCAGAACGAAGAGGTGAGAGACGCGATTTTGCTATCAAGAAGGAAACTTCGATATTTCCATTGTTGTCTTTACTCACCAAGTACGCGACTGCGCAATATGCTATCTTGGATGCCTCAGTAAAGACGTGAAGGTCGAATACGTGGTCTAAGTGAGATGACCTGGAATGTTGACCTCCTTGACGTAAGGCGGATGTTTGTAATGCACCATTCTGCGATGATTGATTCCCATTCTTTAGAAAGTTCCGCTGTAAAAAGTGTGTCCCAAGATAGTTTAGCTTTCCATAGTTTTTGGACGAATGCTTTGGAGATTAGGGCTGATGGCGTTATCCACCCAGGTGGGTCATATTAGGTTGTTTTGAAAAAGTCCTGCGCACACTGTTGACCCCAATTTTTCGGACAATTTCGTCACTAAAAGACTCTAATCTGATAAGGTAATCACCATCAAGGACTAAGCCTAGTTGCCTTTCTAGAACGTACGGCAATATGATAAGAAGAAGAGAGTAGAGACGCTCATTTTTTGAGTAGACGTCGATTTTCGGAATTTTTGCCTTCTTAAGGATGAGGTAGGGATCAAAAATGGTAGTAGTTAGAGACTGCTAACTTTGATGAATAAGCTGGGTATGGTCGCATTCTCAGATCAAGATCCACGATCTTTTGGTGTGGCCTGATCCTAACATGCGGTCTTCGCATTGCCGAGCGGTAGAGAAAAATTGAGTATTTTTGAAGAATTCAAGCGTGACGTCATCCATGTTGTGAGGTTGGTTAGAGTGGACTGTAGTCCTTACTGTTATGCTAGTATCCAGAGATACCGCTTTGAAGTCCCCAAGCAACCTTACTGAAATCTTTATCCCATGCACATGTGCTTTTGGCTGTGCAATCTACTTTTCTGTTTGAGAGATCCTGCGAGGAACATGTGCAAGATGTACGCAAGGACCCCACCACTCTCTACCAACCACAAGATCTCACAAATGTTCCTCCAGTGTGTACAAGGAAAAAAAACTCAATCACGGTCATTCGGCTATGACTTGTCAGACGGGTCCAACTCATGAGGCATCCTTCATAAAAATTTTTTCCGGTAACCGAGACTGCAGAGAAGCATGGTAGTTGTCAGTTAGGTAGAGCCTAGAGAGGTTGCCAATTTACTGGTGGTTACCTTCGGCTGCGCCTCAAGAATCTTAAGTAAAGGACCGTCATTCTGTGCTGGTGGCCGACCTATACATTGCCTACTTCCGAGTTGAATAAGTCCAGCCTGGAAGCGCTGATGCAAAAGGAACTCTCTGCTATGGCAAGCGATATCCTTCCTCAAGACAACGTAAGTGTTAGCTTCCTCGACTATGGCGGAGTTGCCCTACAGGAACTCATAATATGGGATAGGTCGAAAAGTACCTCGATCTCTGAGGTATTTTTAAGCTTTGAAAACTTCCATGGAGCCATGATATACCCATTTTCAGAAACCCCAGGAGACAGTCTCCACTAATCAGAGATAAAAACATTCAAAATGATTTTTGGTCTTTTTCTAGAATAGTTCAAACAAAGTGTCGCAGGACTTTTCGACAACCTATATATACTGGCGACGACCTTGAGCATCTTTCTTTTTGTCCATCGTGATGTTCACTACGAGTGACTTGGGGTAGTTGATAAGCATGATTCGTTAATCCTCTGGTATTCATTGGATCTCAGAACTTTGGAAGTTGTTTATCGACGTTGCTCCTTCTAGCCTCGAAAGTTATGTTGAATTTCCTGTTGTTGCTGGCGAATTCTCGAACATTCATACCTGCATCGGAGAAAATCTTCTTCGTTTCTCCATAGATATGTTCAGCGTCCTCTGAGGAAGAAGCTTCCAGGAAGAGATTGTCCACATAAATGTTGCGTATGATCTTCTGAGCAAGTGGTGAAGAGTAGTTGCTAGATGGTAATAAATCGATACCTGCGAGGAGAAAAGGCGAAGATATTAATCCGAAAGGAACTCTCTTGAAAAACGTAAGTCACAAGGTTCCCTTGTCGAACTCCTGCAGACGGATTTCTCAGCCACAGAAAACGAGTGAAGTTTCTGCTTGCTTTGTCGAGTCCGACCATCAGAAAAGCTTTCTCTCTGTCGCCAATAACTATTATCTTTATGAAGCAGATGCGAAGAAGAATACCTGCTATCTCCGGAAGGAGCACTGGTCCTCTGTGAAGTACATCGTTTAGACTTCGCTTGCCTTTCGTTTTGGCCGATCCATCGTAGACGCATCGAAGTTTTGTGTTCTTGCTATTTTCTGATACGACTCCATGGTGTGGAAGGTAATGGCACGACGTTTGATCCTCGTATCGTCGATTTCTTCGATGATTCCTTTTTCAAGTTGCTCTGTAATTATGTGATGATATTTCTGAAGCAAACCTGGTTGTCGTTCCAACACTTTCAAAGTGCTCTTGAGGCGAGAAATGGCAAGGTCGAAGTTATCCGATAACTCAGAAATATCGTCCTTGAAGGGCAGCTGGACCATGTAACGGCCTTCGTCCACATTGAAGTAAATCGTGTTGTTGAAGTCTTTGAGGCATTTTTCATCATCGGATTGGGTAGCGTCTTCGGATATCCCAGCTGATTCGAGAGACCAGAATTTTTCCACTAGTTCCTCTAACTTTTGGTGTTGAACAGGGTTGTCGAGAGCTTCACTGGTGATGGCAGTCATGCAGATGTTACGGCTCTGAGGAGGCTTCCCAGTGACAACATTTCCTAGTCGAGTATGAATGAGTTTGTAGCCGTCGGGTAATTCTTTTACAAAGAAGTTGTTGGATAACACAAGATCCCAGAAATAGTCATTTCCGATAAGCATTCCTGGTTGGGTGACGATGGTTCGGGTTTGGAAGTGATCCCGCTTGTTAGACGTGATTAGTTCCATTCGCATTGGTCCGGCCACGAAAGGTACTGTTCTGGAGTAGAGCGTTTTCGATTCCTGATTTTCGAGAATTAATCCAACCTTGACGCGAGAAGACCTGTGAGTTTGGGGAATGAGGCTCGCAAATGTTTGGACTGTGAACTTTTCTTCCTCC